TTTTTTCTCCTCAAATTTCAAGTTTATCTCTTGGGTTAGAGAATTAGTTGGATGGAAGGAAGGGATTATAACAGTTTTGTCATTCATTGTCATGCTGATGCATTCCAGTATCCACTGTTCACATATGTCTTTAAGTACTTTGGCAATGATTATCCCATAGACTTGGTGGTTGGTCTACTCCAAGTTGGATTTTGATGGAAAGAAATGTTTGTAGAGATGCAGATGGTTTCACTCCTCAGAGCAGATAGGCCATGCCTATCCCACAGTGAAATTTCAAGTCCAGCCCAACACAGTCTACTCCTCTGATGTGTAGCCACCAGAATATGCAACACTCTGCTTGTTCTTTCTGCATGTGTGTGTGTGTGTGCGTGTGTGTGCGCGCACGCACGTGCATGCATACACTCTCGCGTGTGCCAATACTGGTCTTAACTCAGGGCCTAGCACTTTACTTAGCTTTTTATTTTTGTCAAAGTTGGCACTTTGCCATTTGAGCCACACCTTCACTCTTTTTTTTGGTTAATTGGAGATAAGAGTCTCAAGGACTTTCCTGCCCAGGTTAGATTTGAACCTTGATCCGCAGATTTTAGCCTCCTGGGTAGCTAGGATTATAGGCATGAGCCACTAGCGCCTGGCTATTCTCTCCCATTTTAAGGTTTTCCCCATTGATACATTGTAATCAATTCACTAGTGATTATATGATTCAAGTCAATGGTTCTCATGTAAGAATATTATAGGAGATTTAAAAAGTACTAATACCTAATATTAAGTGATTCTATTTGGAAGGGATTAGAATTTAGGTATCATTCACTTTGAAAATGTCCTTATCATGTAGTCTTGCTGAAGAACCACTTTATCAATCTTCTTTGCTTTATAGCATGTTTATTTGTAGTTTTTTAAAATATATTTTTTATTGTAATGATACTGTACAGAGGAGTTACAGTTACATGAGTAAGGTAATGAGTACATTTCTTATCAAGTATTGTTATCCCCTCCTTTGTTTTTCCCCTACCATTCCTTCTCTCCCTACGTCCTCAACGCCTCCCTCCCCCCATCAAATTGTAAAGTTCATTTTCAACATAGTGTCTTGTACATCTCATTGTTACTATGGGTCAACCTGTATCCTTGTTTCAGCATTTTATTATTTCCCTTTCCCTATACAAGATGGAGATCACTGGAATCAAATACAATAACAACAAGGGTTATACCATGGAGAAAGAATTATATTAAGTGAAGTAAGCCAGACCTAAAGAAACATAGGTCCCATGGTTTCCCTTATTTGTAATAACTAGTATATGTCTAGGATAATCTTACCAGATAATCAGAAAAGGTCAAAAGTTATATGCATATGACCATATAAGATGATGCTAGGGAAATGAACCCCAAGATAGGGACACAAGAGGTTTTATTTTTGTTGCTGTTGTTTTTTAGCATACTATGTGAGTTTTTGTTTCTTTGTATATTCTTCTATCTGTACAGTTTAAAATTAAACCTAGGCTCATTCTCTTTTTATTCCCTCCCCAAGCAATCCATCAAGAGGTACTATAGATGCAGCATGTAATGCATCTGTCTATATCTCTTAAAGCTCTGCTGCTCTTTCCCTAACCCAGATAATCTTCATGCCTTATCTGAACCACTGAACTATCCAACCCAGTAGCTCCTATTCTAATCCTGTGACATCTTCCACAAAGTTCTTAATTTAAAAAATGTTATTAATTTTTAAAAATGTTTCAAACAATTAGATAGGAACAGGCTATCTATGTTTATGAAATCTTAACATGGTACTATATATATATATATATTTTTTTTTTCTTGGTCGATCATGGGGCTTGAACTCTGCGTTTGGGCACTGTCTCTGAGCTCTTCAGCTCTACCACTCAAGCACTTTACCACTTGAGCCACTGTACCACTTTCAACATTGTACTATATTTTCATCATATACTTTAATTCATGAGTAGAATATATTTCATTATGTAATATTTAACTTAAAAATGTTTAGTTTATATAGAGTACCTTCACACTTTACAGGTTGTCATAGTGGAAAAATAACAATTTTCACACCTTTATAATAATTGTAAACAGACTGCTTTAGGGAAATATCATAAACCAATTTGAGACTTGTCTCAGTTTAGAATTTATAATATTTTGATACATTTTAAGAGATGTATATTTTGATAGAGCTCTTCCCTAAATGGAACACTTCTATATTTAAATTGTTTCAAGCTCTTCTTCCTAGTATTTAAAAAATAGTAATGTGAGATATTCACATTTTCTAGTTTTAAAGTTTCCTAAAACATGTAGCCATCAATACATGATATCAACTGGGCATAGGAGAGAGTTTTAAAAAATTAAAAACTTTCTAAACTTTTGCAAATCTTATGAATTTATTCATCATTCCCTTTGTTCTTCATTACCAAAACTAGGAAAGCTGAGAGGATGAGCGGAGTCGGGAGAGATGGGGGGAATTATAAAAGGAGGGACATTGATTAAGATGCATTGTACTCATGAACTCATGTGTTGAGTTGCAATCCTTTTGTACAACTACGTGAAGATAAGTTTTTTAAATGCTAAGAAAAAGTTGTTAAGGACCTATCTTTAACTCTTTGGCATGTACATAGAGATGATTTTCTGTGTATATGGTCAAGAGATACATTTTTTATATTAGGTTTTTAAATATGTCAGGCTGTGAGGAGAGAGCAAGAAGTAAAAGTGGCATCTTCTCAATCCAGTAGGTGAAGTAGCCTGGCCCAAAGTGGTCCTTAGTGGCTTCCTATATTCTACCACATTGACCTGGAACTTTTTGGAATTTACCAAGTGTTTTTCTACTTTAGGACCTTTACATGCTCCTTTCTTTCTTTCTTCCTTCCTTCCTTCCTTCCTTCCTTCCTTCCTTCCTTCCTTCCTTCCTTCCTTCCTTCCTTCCTTCCTTCCTTCCTTCCTTCCTTCCTTTCCTTCTTTCTTTCGTTCTTTCTTTCTTTTTTTTGAGTCCAGTCGTGGGGCCTGAACTCTGGGCCTGGGCGCTGTCCCTCAGCTCTTCAGCTCAAGGCTAGCACTCTACCACTTGAGCCACAGCGCCACTTCCGGCTTTTTATTTTTTGCTTATGTGGTGCTGAGGAATCAAACCCAGGGCCTCATGCATGCAAGGCAAGCACTCTACCACCGAGCCACCTTCCCAGCCTTACATGCTCCTTTCAAAATCATTCCTCCTGATCTACTTGGGACCCCAGATTAGAACTCAGTCTTAATCGTGGTGTTAAGAACTCTTGTTCTTCTGATATTGGAGCAGCCATGTATTTAAGGGGATAGCAGGTGCCAATAATACCAGTCCTCTGAGGAACACAGTGACGACAGTGTAAGTTTTAACTGTCTTGAGGCTATTCCCTTGTCCATAGCTAACACCCTTCACCGTGGGATCAGAGCTCTGGGACGGCAGTAGGTAGTACTGCTTTTTTTTTTTTCATTTTAATCCATCTTGAACAGACAGATGGTTGTAGAGGGCATAAAAGGCTTTAGGGAAAAGTCTTGTTGTAGCTCCTGGCTTGAAAGGGCAAACCAAGAGTTCATCCAGTTTCTCATTTTTGTTGGAGGACTTTTAGCCTCTGCTGTCCTCTAGCCAAACTTTTTTTTTTTTTTTTAAGGAGCCAATCTTTCGTGGTTGGTTTATTTTTCTTTCTTTCTCTCTCCTCTTCCTTCCCCCTTTTCTTTCATGTTGTTTTCTATCATTGTTATTTGTGTTTTTCTTTACATAATTTGAAAGTATTATATTTCATCCCAGACCAGTATAGCAGGTATATCTTAGAAATCAGATTATTTTCCTATGTAACCACAACAGTACTCTCATGCCTAGAAAAGTTCTCACTTTGAGTTTATGTTCAACCTTATCCAATTGTTTCTCCCAAAATAGCTTTTGTGGAATGTTTGAAATTTCCAGGGAAGAGTCACATATGACATTTGCATTTCAGGCCTCTTAAACCTTCATTAAAACCAGCACAGATCCCATGTATTTCTTTAGCTTTAATTTTAGTTTTGTACCTTTTCACAACGTTGACAGTTTTGAAAAGCCCATGTTAGGCTTCTGGTAGAATGACCACTAACATGCATGTCTGTTAATTTTATTTTCCTGAGTGATATGAGTCATGTTACACATTTGATAAGAACATTCTATATTCTTGATGGTTCTGTGCCCCTCCTAAGATATATCAGGAAGCAGTAGTGTTATTTTGTCTCATAAATGGTCATGCTAAGCTTGATTACTTATTTAAAGAGCCACTGTCAGGAGCTCTTCATTACAAAGACACTTGTTACCAGTGTAATTACTAAGGAATCCTGAAGTGTCACTTGAAGACTATGTGAATACTAATCTTTAGCTCCAGAGATACTATTGATAGTTACAAACAGATATTATATAATATAATAATTTATTCTTTAATTTTTAGGTGGCATTCTCTAGACAATCCTTTCAACTCCTCTTGATTCACTCCATTTTTGGATGTGTTTGAAATACCACTATGGACTCAGAGTTGGCTTTAGAAAATGGTTTGTGATATAGCTTAGGTGATCCTTGAACTCTCTATCTTCCTTTCTCATCCTCTTAATTGCTGGAATTACATCTGTTTACCACCCTGCTTGAACTCAGAGTTTCTTTTTTTTTTTTTTTTAAGGAGATCATTTAAATCAGAGTCATTTTTCTTAATACTTTTCATAATGTGTCACATTTTAACACATCACTTTCTCATATGATATTTTATCTCCATTTGTCTTTATAAAAACGTATTTTAAAATTAACCTACTGTGAATTCCCTTAGAATACTTGCCCTGTCCCCAACTTTGATATGTAATGACATTATCATTTATGTTCCAATAGTGAATTGAACATGAAGTGAAATTCATTTTTGAGATTATCACTGGGGAAAGTTCCCAGTGATAGGTTTCAGACAGTTACATTCCACTCTCCTCCCTGATGACAGTGTGCTAGCAGTGAATGCTTTCTCTCTTATTTTTAGGATCGAAGATTCAATGATGAAATTGACAAGCTCACGGGATACAAGACAAAATCACTATTGTGCATGCCTATCCGAAGCAGTGATGGGGAGATTATCGGTGTGGCCCAGGCTATAAATAAGATTCCTGAAGGTGCTCCATTTACTGAAGATGACGAGAAAGTAAGATTTCATCGCTCATATGACTTATACCCTCCTTTTTGAGTACTGATTGCTATTCTCCCTGAAAAGACAAGAATTATGTGAATAGCTGTTCGATTAGGATCAAAGAGCTATTCTCACACAAAATGTAATGGGAGATATTTTTTGTGTTTCAGAGAATGTGCTATAATTGAAAATAATTACTTCATCTTTTCTTAAGCTTGCTCTCATTATAAGGCTGAGTAGTATTCTTGTTATTCTGGTCCTTCGCTTCCTTGGTAAGCTTTTACACTTGAAGATTACAACCCCCTCACATGTGACTGAAGAGAACAGAGGAGAAAATGGCTACATTTCAGGGGCTCAGCACTTTCTTCTTGTAGTTTTATAACTATAGTTAATAATTGTTTTCTCAGTTCTTATATTAAAAACTTCAACAACGTGTTATTTAATTGTTATTTAAAATTGCTAATAAAAAGAACATTATATTTGTCCCTGAAGAACAGTTGACCTTGGTAAAAAGTTATGTACTTTTTCCTCTGATATTTTGAGCTAGTTCACTAGTGGTTTATTTGCTAGCTTATATTAAAATAGAGGATCTTCAGAGAATTTAAGTTCTGATTTATGTTTTTACCTCCATATTGGATAGAATCTGGTTGAATATTTATGCAATTTATGACAAAAGTAAATTTCAAATTTGTTAGCTTAAGGTTGATGACTACCACATTCCTATTTGATTTAAAAATACTTGTAATTTAACCTTCTGTATGTGGGTTTGCTATTTGCTAGTGCTAATTGCTAATGCATTAAATTAACGTAAATGTCCTGGTACAAAAGAGCAACATAAAATTTGATTATAGGGAAATTAGAAGAGTTTTAAATGAAGAAAGTCCTTGATTGAGGTCATTTCTATGGTAGAATTAGAACAGCTCAAAAAATAGTGAAAATTCCATTCTACATTTGCCTGTTAGAGATTAAAGATAAAGTTTTTTCTTTTTCTTTTTACACCTAGCTTAGTTTACTTTGTCATTGTCCTATAACTGAGAATTAGTTGTTGCTATATTGTTCTCTAGGTTTTCACTAATACAAATAGCCTCTGAATAGCCTTTTTGTTTTTTTTTAAATTTTCTTGGGGTATATTCCACAGACTAAAATTACTGGGTCAAAGGGCAGGAAAAGTTTATAACTCTCATTCCATGGTGTCAGCCAGATTTTGGAAATACTGAGCCCATTTACATTCGTAGGATCCTGCATATTCCTATTTTTCAGTGCCCTGCCAACTTTCTTCAGTTCACGTTTTTAAGATAATTTTCCTTAATCTTCCAAGCAAGCCTCAAACAACCTCATCCCATGTTGACAGTAGAAACTCCAGCGTCTGGGTTGGTTCCATATCTTAGCTATGGTAAATAATGTTGCAATAAACATAGTTGTGCTGGTAGCTTTAGTATGGTCTTGTTTGTGATCATTTGGGTAAATGCCCAAAAGTGGAATTGCTGGGTCACAGGGGAGCTCTATGTGGAGTCTTTTGAGGACCCAGATACCCCTCAGTAGATGAATGGATCAAGAAAATGTGGTATGTATACACAGTGGAATTCTATGTCTCCATCAGAAAGAATGACATTGCCCCATTTGTTAGGAAATGGAAAGACTTGGAAAAAATTATATTAAGTGCAGTAAGCCAGGCCCAAAGAAACATAGGTCTCATGGTTTCCCTTATTTGCAATAACTAGTATATGTGTGAGACAAGCAGAAAAGGTCAGATAAGTTGATGTTAGGGAAATGATCCCCAAGGTAAGTACTCAAATGGTTTTTCTTTCTTGCTATTGTTTCTAACATATTTATAAGATGATTTCTTTGTTGCTTTATATGTCCCTCCCCTACGTATTACCCTTGCTTTCACTGTAATTGATGTTGGTATAATTTGGGGAGGGGAAAGGAAATAACAAATTGTTTAAATATGGATACAGGTGGACCCATTGCAACAATGAGATGTACAAGTTGTTATGTCGAAAAATGAACTTTACAGCTTTGGCTGGGGGTGGGGGTGGGATGGGTGGGATTGGGTGGGTGATGGTAAGGGGAAACAAAGGAGGAGGCAACAATGCTTGATAAGAAATGTACTCATTACCTTGCCCATGTAATTGTAACCACTCTGTACGGTATTTTTACAATAAAAAAAAAAAAAGAAAGAAACTCCAGCAGCGCAAGCAATTTCAGGGTTATCTACAGGTAGGAAACAAGGAAGTGTAAGGAAACCTCATGAACACTATGTGAGAGGCAGAAATCATCTAGATCAGGCTCAAGTCTTTGCTACTCATCAGCTGAGTGACCTGAGCAAAATGCTGAATCTCTATGTGTCGTAACAGCCATCACAGTGTTGTTTCAAGGAGTAAAGTAGATAGATGCAGAGTGACTAGTATAGCACTTATTGATAAATGAGCCTTATAAAATCTCACCATACATCTCAAAGTTGAGCTAAAGTCATTTGTACAATCCTTGTTATTTTGCCATATACACCTAATCTACTATCGCATCTGGGTAACAGAACTTTAAACATTATATATTTAAACATTAAACATCATATGCTTTACATGTCATGATAATTTAAAATTTCAATTTCAAGAGGCTGTAAGTTATATATAGTATAATTTAAAACCATTTTAAGTATGCAAGTCAGTTAATTATTTGCCTAAAATAAATGAAACTTACATGTATTACATTGATTTGAGACCAGGCATGTATTGTGTCTACCATCTTAATTTGTTTCTTGGAAATTCTGTATCTATGATTCCATGGCTGTATGGTATCAGTTAAGAATTTTTGGAGGAAACTGGAAAGATCATTGCTTCATCCTCCACTTCCCAATCTTCATCCAATGTAGATCTTTACCTGACAGATGGTCACCCAACCTGTGCTTGAAAACTTGCCTTCTAATGCCTTTGAAAGCATTGTGCTCTTCAAAGTTCTTGGATAATTAGCAGGAATCGTTTTTATAAATTATGGTAAGAGTTTTGTGTGAAATATAATCTCCCATATGCATAAGTTAATAACTTAAATTACATCCTGACAAATTAGTTTGGGAATTCACATTGGAGGTGCACATAAAGACCGAACAAGCAGAAGAAATGACTGGAATTTTATGGTTCACTTCCTGGGTTTCAAGCAAATGTTGTTGATTTTCAATGATGTGTATAAAGCTAGCTGATTTAGACAGTGTGAGTTAATATATCACTTGGTTATTCCTGAGTGAGTAAAGAGGTGTATTATTTTGTGGAAGAAAATAACAAGACCTGGCTAGGAGTAAACATTGGTGATCTATAAGATATATGGGCACAGCAGTGTGAAAACTGGAAAGGGCAGTGAGTACCAGCTCTTATCAGCAATCCCAGGTTGCTTGTGCTTCAGCCCCAAAGGTGCCGTTTCTTGCTGCCATGCTGCATAAAACTCGATAGATATGTCTATTGCGCTTATTTTCCAACAGTTGACATACAGCAGTTGTTGCCTGAAGTTCTTTGGCTAATCTCTAGGGGGATTTTTCAGCCTATGGTCACCTCTCTTCAGCTCATAATTCGGAGTGTTCAGCTACTCTGGTACTTTCTTTCATGCTGACATGTTCAGACACCCTGCAGAGCTGGGTTATAGCCAGCTGAGCTCAGCTGCCAGGGACTGGCCACATTCCAGGAACTTGTTATTGGTGATGCTTCTTGCCAACGGGTGTTGAGGATGGTGCCTGGATGGTGCTAATAAGCCTCTGCAGAGGCTGGAGTTCTGTCAGCAGCAACAGGCCTGAGATTCACAGGCAGATAGTGGGGAAGATTTCATACTCTCTTGGCCTGACATTTCTCTAGTGTTTCTGATTGTGTGAAATGATTGTTTGGGATCTGTAAGATGTCAAGAGTACCAAAGCTATTTAAGTTTACTGTGATGAAGAGAGGGAAATGGACTCTGCTAACGGGAGTGACAAATTGGTGACCCCAGAAGGCTGAATATCATCCACACATGTCTTTCTTATGCAAGGGATTTTGTTGGCATGGAATTTAGACTTGATCGCCAGCTGTAGTCTCCACCATAATATCTCCCCCTCACCCCAAACAACTAGTCCATTAATAATAATGACTTAATGGGAAAAAAGATGACGTTTCTTCTGTCATCATATAAGGAGTTAGTGTCTATAGACGATGCCTTCCAAAAGTATCTTTCAAATATTTTGAAAAGATACTGATATTGATATAGTACATGGATCTACTACAACAACTCCTCCAGGCAAGTTCGTGTGACTTCTATGAATATTCTATTGGCTTTAAGATACTTAGATGCTAAAAATGGAGTGAGTTAACTAATTGTAAGAAATGCCCTTTGTGTTCTCATCTCATTATTTTTTCCCTTTCTGTCTATAGCCCAACTATGTTTTATTTTTGAACCTATTGCAATAAAAGTATAATTAAATATTGGTGTCAGCAAGAAAAAAAGTTTTAAAAGTCCTGGCAGATGGCTCATGATCTTTAGTTGTATTTGATCAAAAAGATTTTTAGTCCAGAGAAAATTTGGATTGGATCCCAAAACTCATTAATTGCATTATTTTATCTACATTTGAACAATGATCTAGTCAGTGGCTACTTGTCTTTTAATGGGTAGTTTCCAGGGTCTATATAAGCACTGTAAACCTGGAAGAACTTCTGAGACCAGTTTGCTCATGGGCCATGAACTCATTCGACTCATTGGATCAAGACGCTCAGAAATAATCAAGGTTTGCAAGGGAAAAAATTGCTATCCCACATACATATCAGAACTCAGGTTAAACTTCAGAGTTTTTTGCTTTTGTTTTCTGATGGAAGCATTGTTGTGGACTTCTGGTGTATCCTCTGACTCTTCCTCAGACAGAATCTTAATTCTGGAGTAAGAAGGCGAGTCTGAGCCTGGCACAGTTGCTCTCGCCTGTAAGCAAGCCTAGCTACTGAGAAAGTTAAGAGGAGGGCATCATACTTTGAGGCCAGTCTGAATAACAAGTTAGCAAAACTATTTTA